CAAATAAAAACAAATTAGAAACCGAACTCAATGCAATCATTTCCAAACTGCAAATCAAAAAACTTTAAGTGTCTTTTGATTTAGTAATGTCAGCCAGAGAAATTACAATGAAACCAAAATAATCAAACAGGGAGAATTCAGTCTCTCAAATATATACACTACTGAGACAACTGGCTTTGTGTCATATTTACACTGATAAGACACAACACATTCTCAGAAAAATCAATTACAAGAGACTGGCCCACAAAACATTTTAAAGAAACTACTCTGTAATGTAATGCTTGCCTTTTTTTTTTTTTTTGGCATTTCCTTCTTTGTATGTGTGTTTTTTGGCAATATAAAAATAGCTGCACATAAAGATGAACTTAAAAGTGTGAAAAACACAAAAATATATTTTCTAAAGAAAGACCAGATACATCTTTAAAAAATGTTAAGTTGAATGAAACATTTACAACAAATATAAAATATATTCACATAAATGTCAACAATATGTGTAAGACATTCTTTTGTGAAGCCAATTCATTAATGTTTCGAGACAGGTGAGACTATCAAATGTTTTCTGGGAACTGTGGTACTTCCTTTATTGTCAGTAAGTCAGACATAACAAGATTGAGAAGGTTTTTCAATTTCCAAAAGAGCATTCTGTTAATAAGCAGCATAGACAATTTATGCATTTAATGTATTTTTAATGAAAAAATACTGCACTAAGATTGGCAAAAAACTAAAATCACTAAAAATTTAAGTTGGAGGAGTATCTCCTCCTGCATATAACACATCTACCTAATAGGTGAAGAAAAATGGAAAGCAGAGACTGAAGAGTTTTATATTCTAAAACAATTTTGAGGAATTAGAATTGATCAAACACGGAAATTCTTAACTAAGGCTGTGAGATTGTGTGTGTGTGTGTGAGTTTTTTAACAGCCAGCATCCAATGGGATCTTATTGCTTTTGGAAAGAGACGATTCCTTTGACCTTGACTTCTAGAGATATCAAGTTTTTGTTTGCAGAGATTAGAAAGTTCATTTTTTTGGTAGCATTATATATTATTAGAACATTTTTATTTCTCGATGATGTGTCAATTTCAGCATCTCTATGTTGCTTATGATTATTTTTAGAAGGTTAAAACATCCCCAGACCAACAGAAACGAATTCTGGGTAAGATGAGACTGTATATAGCAGGGGGAAAAAAAGGATTAAAAAACAAAACAAAACAAAACCTTTTTATGTTGCAATAGTAAAATTTTTAAAAACTTAGAAATTAAGCACTTTTTCTAAGTGAAAAAAAAAAAAAAGATACCAAAGAGGATTTTCCCAGAGGTTCAGGCATTCTGGTGTGACCAGGCTCCAGAGATGTGCCCGCATACAGTAGACAAGGGGCACACACATAAATCTCTTGAAGAATAAGCCCTTGCTGTCCCAGTAGCACATCATATGTATACACTGTAAGCTCAAAACAAGACTTCTCTACTCATAGAGATGACAGATATTCCATTGCTCTCTGCAAAATCACAAGAAAGGAACCCTTCCCGCAGGACTGTTTTTGATAGTGAAAACCAGAAGAGTAGTAAGTGTGTGATGCACCAGGGACTCTGCAGAGTGTGCAGACTTCTCGCACATGGTTTGTATTAATTTTAAATTATATAAGTTAAAAGGCGAGATGAATAAAAGTTTATGAAAGCATACAATGTATGAAATGAACAGGAAGTGAGGGGAACCACCATCCAAGTAAAAACATCATCCGTAGGCACACTGTTTTACATTAAGGCTCCTCATTGAACCATGACTATAGCAAATTCCTGAACTTTAAAAATAAAATCACACACAAAAAGTTTAGGAATGCAATTAGAAAAATGAAACTATCCACAGTAGAGTTGCATTGTCCATAAAGAAAAAAAGGAAAGAAATAATATATTAGCACCAGTTGATAGGAATGGAAAACAATTTTAATGCTAAAACATACAAGTTTGCATCCTTTAAAGATGTTTTATCAGAAGTAATACTTGACCGTCATTTATTTTCACCACAGCTTTTCTATATTTTCTCAATTTTCTACCTTACAAATTAAAAGAAAGAGATCTTTAAGAAAAATGTTATCTACCAACAAATTTATCAACTGTAATTCATTATTAATTTGGACCTTATCGGAGTACTCTCCAAATAGTGACAAAATGAATGTTTGAATATATTTTAATAACTTAAAGTTTAAGATTTTCTATGCTGGCTAAGATCTAGCAATTCTATTGAACAAAGAGGATTTTCATCGTTTCTTTGTTTTCCCCGAGGAGATAAATGTAATGGGGCTTCCTTTAATCACAGATAAATTGGGGGTGTCAAACTGGTTATAGAGTAAGATTCCAATATACACACAGGACTGTATTCTTAGAAGGGCTATGTTCAAAATTTTTATATGTGAAATGCTTCTCTTTTGATGTCGAGGTATTCTCATTGGAGGCTTTACAAATTTTAATTAATGAGCCATTGCAATACCTCTCTCTACTAAGGAACAGAAAGGAAGACAAGAAATATAGTCACCAGACTTTTCTCAAGACATTATAGTTGGTTTTTCTGAAGAGAACATAGTTCTACTCCAGTTCAATCTTTCCAAACCATTTAAGACAAATTATTTCAGACACTGAACAACACATTATCCTAACCATGTCATACAAAAAATTGTTAGAAAATGCCCTCCATTATTTAAAAAAAATGTGAAATTGGCTTAGGGCTGTGGAATGTTATTAGGATTACTACCAAGTAGGCAGATCTAACAGTTTAAATGTCTCTCTAACCTTAAAAACCTAATATAATTTTTTTTTGTGTATGAAAGTGAGTGTAAGGTTCTTGGGGTCTGTGACTTGGAATTCTATCTTATCTGTTGTTACCATAAGCCAACGGTGAGCTAATTTCCCCACTGGGGTGGAAAGGATAACATTTCCCACAAAATGCTGCAGAATCATCGCAGGATATTACATTTAGAAGGGACCGATGGGGTAGCCTTTTTTTTTTTTTTTTTGGTACTGGGGTTTGAACTCGGGACCTTGCACTTCCAAGGCAAGCAGCGAAACCACTGAGCTAAATCCCTGCCTGGGGTAGCCTTTCTCATGGGCATGTTTCTCTTCACGTAAACTTTCCACTCAGGAAGCCACTTGATGACCTACCACCAACTTTTTCTGTGCAAATTCTAGTCTAACATGGTTAGGTAATTTTTGAGCAAGTAGATGAAAAAATACTGTCATGGCAACTATACTTCACAGCTTTGAGATCTCACATTTGGTCTGCGGATAAGAGAAACGCTTAGAAATATAAAAAAAGAGAAAAATGTAAATGTAGAAAATCTTTAAAAAGCAATAATAAGAAATAGAAATGAGTTAATGTTATCAAAGGTGATAAAATCTTGACTTTATATTAACTGATAATCTCTATGTATATTACATTCATCATGTAAAAAAGTCAAAAAGTACTAAAAAAAAGCTTAACTTTCATGCTTTACAATGAATAAACTGAAAATGGAGCTTTTTTGTTTTCTCCAGTTATCTGAAACAAGAAAGATGTTAGTATATTTAAGGTTTTTTTTTGTTTGTTTGTTTTTTGTTTTTGTACCGGGGATTGAATTCAGGACCTTGTGCTTGCGAGGCAGCTGAATCCCTGGCCCAAGAAAGATGTTAGTAAAACGTCATTTGACTGTTGGTACTGAATCAGTCCTATTTTGAAGAACCTTTCTTTAAGAAACTGTTCAAAGAAGATATGACAAAAACTGAAACAAATTTTCTAAATATTCCTTGGAGTAAAAGAAAAAAGTATCGAAAAGAACGGAAACACTGTCTTCGTTTCTCTAGAGAACATGTGGGAACTGTTGGCAACGGGGTGGACCGGATGAAGGAAAAGCCACCAAGCTGACTGGCAGAGGCGTCCCGGGAGCCCTCCGTTTTCAGGAGAGGGCGTGTGCAGACCCTCCTGGGGACGCATGTCTTCAGCAACCTGAGCTTCGATGGCACATGCATGCCCTTTGTCCTCAGGGACAGCGAGGCCATCCCAAAGATCTCCTGTCCCAAAAGAAGAGCCACAGCCTCTGTCATTTTCCAAAAGCAGCCAGATGGATGGTCGCTGGGATCCAGTTTATTAAACAAGAAAGTCTGCTATTCTGGGTGTTCGCCTGTGTAAGCCACTTTCCCACTTGGTCACATGAGAGGTGGTGCAGCATGCCAAGCCATTCTCCTCCTCGTGTCTTCACTGCCAAGGGCAGCCCAAGGAAAACTGGTGGCAGCAGTCGGCTCAGCCCCTTGGCATTGACTCCAAGGTGGCCACAAGAGCCCACAATACCGGAAGCTGTGGATCTGCAGCTCCCTCAAAATATCAGACCGACCGTGTGTGCGCTCTCTGCCAACTCATCTCTTTTTGGCAATAAGCCACGGTGTAACTCCCTTGAGACGTCAAAAGGAAGAAGAGCTCAGATGTGATCAAAGGAGTGGTCGGGCAGCATGCGTGTGTCTGGGTTTGCGCAGCAAGCAGGCTGGGGCACACTCATGCTTTTTTAGTCAGTTTCAGTGGTACCAGGGCTAGTAGGGAGGGTCAGTGGGAAGGTGACGGCAAACACGTCAGTCTGTCTAGTATACGTTCATAGCCTCAGGTCCATATTTGGTCACAATTTCATGTAAACGATTTCATGGAGCTTTCAGCCCATGCAGTCAACAAGCTCAAAGTAAGAAAATAGCATGGACAATCATTCTGTACCATTGAAGTCCATATAAATACATATCCTCAGGTAAGAGGTACTGATCTATAGTTTTCGCAGGCTTCTCACTGGTTTCCTAAATTGCCCAATTTCAGATGCAAGTGGAGAAATGATGCGTGTGTACTATGGCACACAAGAAGAAGCAGCTGTATGTAAACATAGCTCAGACTTGCGAAATCTGCAATTTGGTTTTTCAACTATAAATATGGATAGTGGACCATTATATATACAACTTCATGCTTGGAAAGTTAGATTCATCACTGCAGAAAAACAGACAAACACACACACACACAAATATATGGAATTAGTAAGTAGTCTTGGATGACAACTCCAAATTAACACTGATTTCGAGAAATCTGGTAGAACCGTCAATGGAGGCTTTTTATCAGTGGAGGAATCAAGCATTTGATGTGTGTGTCGCTGTACTCACTTTTGAGATGGGGTTCTTGTGTTGTCCGGGCTGGCCTCTGCCCCCTAGGTAGCTGGTGTATACCACCCCCCCCAGCTCCATATCTTACTTTTCTGAATTCCTGGATGTCATGACAATTTTTATCCTAGGTTTAGCTGACTCTTTCTTGGCCCCTAAGAATTTTGTGATAAGTGCTTGCTTCAGTAACTTTGCTGGGAAAGCAGAAAATTAGGATTTCATCACATATGTACTATGAAATCCTATCACTAAATTACATTTTTTATTTGTTCCTTCCACAGTCTTCAAGCATCACAACCCAGCTGTGGAGAAGGCTCAGGTTTGGGGCCTCAGGACAGGGCCATGTCCCTGGCACCTGCCTGGGTATGATGCCCCAGGGGCCTCCGAGTCTCCATTCTGCTTTCCTTTGTCCAGTCCCCTCTTTCCGGAACAATGGGCGGGGCAGACCCACCTGTTGTCAGGACCACAGCTGTGTGGCCGTCCTGCCATGGCCTAGGACACTACACATCCCTGGCTTTTCATTTTGAGCAGCTTCCTCATGAGGGCTTTCCTTAAACTGGAGTCAAATCCGAGAGGCAGAGGAGCGCCATTTGAGGAATAAACTCACAGAGCAGACCTTGGGGATTTGCTGGAGGCTTACATGGGAAAAGTCAGTAAGGAAAATGAAATGCAGAGAAGGGGGACAGAATGATAGATCTTCATCCACCCCTACGGGTGACTAGTCCAGAAGCAGCTTTCTGTTAATATCTGTTTTTCTCTCTCTCCAAGACAAGCAGATCCTCCACTGGGAATGCTCAGGAGCGTGTGTACTTTCTGGCCCTCCTGGATGGCAGCTACTTGGCATTTGTGGGCAGCACATCATCTCAGGGCCCAAGGTGCTGCCCCTGAGGAGCATTCCTTTTCCAAACCGTCACATCTCAAAGTTCAAATCCTGTCAAGTGTGACTGCCATAGCAGTGTTCTGTAAATGCACAGAATTTAAAAGCCCCTGCAACCGATTTGAAAACCTCATTTAGAAAAGTCCGTTGCTTGGTTTTAGGAAGATTCTACCGCAAATCTGTCAGCCCTACCTGGGAACAGAAGGTATAAAGCAGTATTAGAAAGCTGAAGGCTTTCCTAGAAGATGAGGCCCCAGGTGCTCTCCCTACAGAATGGTTTCCGATTGCTGGCTGAAGATGGATGATATAAACTCAGTGGAATGTTTGCTTCATAGAGTCTATTTATTCACTACCTAACTGCAGGGTGAACTGATACATTATACTTCAGTTCTAGTTTAGCAAATCCTACGTTGATAAACTTAGAAAATGAAATGGACTGAAAGTATCTTAAAAATCAAATCGTTTTGCATGAAAAAAATTACTATTGAAGATAGCAGGCCAAGACTTGGTAATCGCAGAGGTGCCGCTTCCACACCCTGAATCTTAAGTCAGACATTGCCAGTGTGTTTTACAGTATACAAAACTCAGCAGCGTTTATAAGATGGGCCATGTAAAATGGGACCCATTAGAGCACTTTGTTGGCCTTATCTTTAATATATAGCATTTAAAAAATGATCTAGCCTATTAGAGATGGCAAAGTTCACCACAACAGCAATTTGAAAACATTTATTTTTTTGCTTTTCCTTGGGGGCGGGGAGAGTTGAAAGTGTTTGATCAGTGATTTGCATTTGTGGCTTGTGGGCGTGGTAAGCAACCCTGAAATTTTATCAGAGTTCTTTTCTGTATCAGAAGTTGATAGATTCATGAGATCTTTTATCTTATATAGAATGATATATATTTTATGGAACACCGAGTAAATAGAAGGGAGACTTCTGTTTCCTGTTCATACTCCTGTGTGGCTTGCTGTCTCGCCTGCCTTGCTATGATGGGCGCTTACAGAGGTGGCCGCCATAGCAGCAGCGCCCGAGCTCTGAGCACAGCCAGGGCCTTTCCCATCTCCCTGCAGGGAGGGAGCAGATGTCAGGGTCAAAGCACTGTGCTAGCGGGTGACCGAGTCAGAGGGCAGGTGGCGTCTGGTCCCGGGGGCTTTACAGGTCCTGTGGGGGCCCTGCGGGGCTGCGAGGATGGTTTTTCCGGAGAAGGTGGCTGTGAGAGGCCCAGACCCAGGGCCCTGGCCTCAGTTGTGATCCAGATGACGCCTGCCAAGCTGAAAGCGGAGTGTGGGAAGCCACTAAGCGACGTGGCAGCAAGAGCCAAGTAGGGCAGCCGGTGAAGCAGGAGGATTGGGCAGGACTTCCTCACGGGTGGAGTCGCTGACGTCCAGGGCAAGCCAGAGTCTGTTTCTGACTCCACCGTTTGTCACAAATTTTCCAGGGAAGCACACTTGTCCAGGATTATGGAGTGAGACCTAAGATGCTGAGAAAAACAGTAATTCCAGGGACCAAAGCGCGTGTCCATGTCCTGGAGCTCGGCGCCCTTCCTTGGGCTTGCTGTCCTTCAGGACCATTTGCCCATTGCGAGGGTCAGGCTCACGCCACCCTGAGCAGGAGACTCGGTGTCCCTGGGGCCCACGACATGTGCTCGCCTCTTCTCTGCCTCCCGTTCTGCCATTGTCCTCCACTGCCCGCCCTGTGCCTTGCTCCAGCGTCCGCCACATACTCCCCCGGCTCTTGGAAGCTCCTCTGCTTCCCTGACTTGCTGTTTCCTCAGCTGCAGGCTCCTGCATGGCTTGGATGAAAGGATGGATGCCCCTGTACGAAAGAGCTTACCACACAGACTGTGCACCAGGCGGGTTTCTATACAGGACGTGTTCGCGTCCTCACCGCACACACAAGTGACTGCAGGCGGCTGCATGAAGATGTCAGAATGAGCCCATGTCATAAAAGAGGCCCACTTATCAGCTTCTCCTAGGTCATTCGGGACATCACCGAAAAATTTGTATTTTCTGCTTTCTCAGCTCAGTGACTATTGACAGGGTTCTACCATGTATTAGCATGTTTGTCAGAGAACAGAATCTAACTGTGAAGGAAAACAGAGGGCTTACTGACAGACAAGCAAACCATTATCCTGTGCACTGCCCCTTTCCATTCCACACGCAGGGTCGCCCAGAAGCGGGAGGAGTACAACGCCCGCTCAGCGCTGCTCTTACTCCCCAGTTGGGAAGAGACGGACAGTAAGTGTATGCGTCAGAAGCTATCCCGGGCTGGAGCCCTTTGCTTTTTAGTACCTGAGCAGCTTTCAAGAATGTCAAGGGCGAAAGGTCTGGTGTGAATGGAAAAGGCCAGGTCACAGGGAAGGGAGAGCTTAGCCGTAACCTACCTTTTGCCAGCAGCCAGGCATGGGTAATCCATCTGGGCCCTGTGTCAAGGAGAGAAGAGAGTCCCTCAGACCCCTCGGGAGAGGCACACTTCCCAGCCCACAGGCTTAAAGCGTGGCTTTTTACCTGGAGGGCGGGTTTGGTCACAGCCATCTTTTACTAATTAGCAACTCTCCATATACTGCCCAGGGTTAGTGAAACGAAAATAATTCAAATGTTTTCCTTTCAAAAATATCTACAGCACAGAAAAATCTACACGGAATTTTGAAAAAGCAATTTATAAAGCATACAATCTAGTGGTCTATTCATAGACCTTTAGGAAAGAAACCTGTGCTATTCCTCTTTATTTCATTAAGACATATTTCACAATTATCTAATTAAATAAACCAAAATAACTTATTCATAGTCACTAAGGACTGTGACTGAATTCATGGTAATGATACTGGGTGATGAACCATTTCTATCTGAAGTGTACCAATGTTTATTTTCCTATATAAAAGCAGATATTGCAAACACTCAGCTGAAAGCCAGGCAGCCTCTATGGATGGCAGCGTTAGCCACAGCATTCATCAGTTTTTAAATCTGAAGTCTTCGGAAGTCAGCTAACATTCTGAATAAAATAGACTTCCTAAATGGCACAAAATTTTAATTTTTAAAATGTAAGCATTCTTCAGATACAAATGGTACAAATGAGAGGAAGAGTTGATACATTATGAAGGCATGCTTGTATTTCCCTCCATAGGGTGGTTGTGAAATGATTTCCCCCCAATACCAAGCAAACAAAGTAAGATGGGCACTTTCCATTGACATTTTCTAACTACTGCCAGAGTAACATTTTTTTCTGTAAATACAGTCTCTTCATAGGTTTAAGAAATATAAATTTACCTTTCAAGAATCATGCTTGTAATTGAAGAGCCACATAAGAACATGCAGATCAAATATAACTATACAAAACTTTCTTGTACTTTAGAAACTAAGAATGTACTTTTTAAAAAAATGTGAAAGACTTTGAAATAGCTTTATAAAATATTTGGGAAAAATTGGTAATGCCAGATTGGTACAAGGAGAAGGATCAACCAGTAGAATTTTAGATTTTAGTATGAGGAAGATTTCGAGTTCATGCCAGTGGAGACAAGGGAGCGGCGTGTACTTTGGGAAAGTGAGTTTCAGAAGGAGAGACCATTAAATCGAAAAGGTTACATGACGCAGAAGAGGATTTGGGCTGCAGACGATTATCTGTGGATGTCAGGAGTATGGTTTCCTTCTCTGGTCTCTTCACGGCGTTCCCTCGAGCTGGTTAACTACTGGTGACACAAGCTCACTTCTGTAGGTTTGGCCTTAGTTATGGCCAATCAAAGTTTAGTGGGAAAAAATAACTGGTATTCCTCTTAGAGAAGAAAAAAAACATGGGGGTAAACGCAAAAGTTACGACCTGCTGGTGCCTTCGCATCAGATGTGTCTGTAATTTTAGTGCATCGTTACGTGTTTAGTAAACCTATTAATTTTCCACGGTGCATTAGTCATGTCAGTGGTGAGGACAGCGTCGGGACGAGTTCTTGTTCATGGATGACACGAGCCCGAGCCCGCCGTGCACATGCATGTCGTATGTTTAGCGTGGAAAGCCTGCCCGGGGAGAGCTGCTTTACACTGACGATGCATACGGAGTCAACAAAGGAAGGGCATGCAGGGAGGTAGGAGAGAGATACTGTACCAATTGGCAAGGGGCATCCAGCCCGTCCAAGCCAGGCTGGCCTGGCTCCCCTTTTTCCCCCTTAACGCCACGGAATCCCTGTTTGTAAAGATTGACTCATAATGTTACTAATGAAGAATTCACTTAGGTACAAGTTCTACAGAAACAACGAGCACAACAAAGGCTGGGAGAAGAGCAGCTCGGAAGGGACGGGTGACTCTGAGTGGCTCGGTGTCTGAGCCCATTCCCGGAGGGAGAAGGCCGGTCCGGCAGCTGTGGCCTCTGCTCTTGAAGGGTGGGGAGCCACTGGCTGGTCAGAGGCCGGCGGTCAGGCTCCCAAGGCACAGAAGCACTGGAGGGGTAAAGCACACACAGCGTGGAGCCCAGCAGGATAACCTGAGCCGGAGGCTTCTGAGCGCCTCAGGTCTGTGGTGGCTGCCCCCACAGGAAGCCCTGCTGTCACCAGTCCCCTGGCTGCTCTTCTCCCACCTCATCCCTGACACGCGACATCCAGAGACAGTACAGAGTCAGACATACCAACGGGCAGGGCGCATCCAAGCCAGGGGCACCCTGTTCTCCTTTCTCCCCTTTGGGCCCCTTTTTGCCTTTCTTTCCCTTTTCCCCCTGTGGATGGATACAAGGGTTTAATACAGGTTTTATCTGGGCAGGAGGAGGAAGGTGACTGAGGAGATGGGTGAGCTGAAATAAGTCTGAAAGGGCATTTACCACTGTCTCCTTGGAGAAGGCATGGTATTGTCACTTCCCGAGTGACAGTGGATTCCTGGCAGCAGGAGGGTTTTTTTTTAAAATTTAAGATAGCCAAAAGGAGAGGGCTTAGACAAGAATGACACATCCCAAAGGCAGACCAGAGGACCTCACGACCGTGTGACCATCACTGTGGGTTGGGGGTTGGTGCTACAGTGGGAGGTTGACGGGCACCGACTGCATCAGAGCCAGCCAGTGGGGAGAGCAGTTCTGAAGAATAAGGGACACTTTACCCAATTTTCAATGTCTGTCAACTTGCTTTGTTGGGGGGGGTGCAGTGAGACAGAGTCTCACTATGTAGCCCAGGCCGGTCTCGAACTCACAGTGATCCTCCTGCCTCAGCCTCCCGAGAGCTGGGATGACAGGCATGTGCCACCACACCCAGCTTTGTCAACTTGCTTTTTAAAAAAATTCTGTAACATGCAAATTATATTGAACCAAAGGAAAAGGAAAGCATATTAGCAGCTTCTCTGAAATGTACCCAGTCATATATCACTTTTTGTAGCTCTCATTAAAAACTCAAAGTATTAAATATGCTTTAACATTTTAAAAAATTGAAAGCAAATACTTCCCTTATTAAGTCAGGTAAACAAATGTTCGGAGTGCAAATACTTTGCCCCGAAATGTCTGGAGAAGCAGACATTCGAAGCCCTTCAGGTCTGCAGTTCACTCCCTCATTGGTGTCCTACCTCCAGTGCACAGTGGTAAATGAGCTCCCAGATTATACGGTGCAGCAGGAGCCAAAAAGAAAAAATCTCTTCAAGAGGAAAAGCGGTTTTGACTCAGTAAAAATGAGGTGGGCAGGATAATTACATGGTGGGAATGGAGCCATGGAAATTAGTATTTAGGAATCCAGGTGAAGTCTGTGGGAAGTCTGCGTGGGTCACAGGGATGGAGGAATTGAGGAAGGGAGGCAAAAGGAGAAGCAAGGAAGGCACCTCAGCTGTTTCACATTAGCATAAATCTTTCCGGTATTTAAAGAGAGGGATGGGGCCTCGCAGAAGACAAAATACGAGATACATACTGAAATTAGTGTATTCACTCTGCAATCACCAAGGCAACTACAATAAAACTGAATAATCTCTGAAGCAAAACAACATGAATATTCACAGGCAGAGACATGCAGCACAGAAACATACGAGATACGAAGTCAAATTAGTACATTCATTCTGACAGCCGAGCGAAAGCTCCCTGTTTTCTCCTGTGCGCCAGAAAGACTGCCTCAGAAGGCTGGAGTCAAAAACACCTGGGTTTCACGGAGCCCGGAGAAAAGGAGAAATGTGGGGTGGTTTAGTCGATCACAACTGAAGACAAAGACCCGAGAGTCATGGTGAAAGGAGGACAGGGCTGCTAGGACGACGGTTGTCCCTTCCGGTCAGAGCCTGACCTGGGCTTGCTCGGTGAGTGCTTCCTCCTGAGTGCTGGACACGCCTTGGAGGAGGGTGACTGACAGCAGGTGTAGTGGGTGCTGAGCTAGACTTCACTTGGCTGTGTGATCAGTGAATGGACTCCGATTACCCACTGGACAGGGCAGGGCTGTCACAGAAAGGCTACTGTGCTGGGCGGTAAACGTTGCTTCTCATTACGTTAGGGAATGCGGAGTTTTATGGAAGAGGGACATGGCAAAGAATGTATCGGGCTTATTATCAACCAACATTGCTCTGTAGCACTTAGGGATCACAAAGAGCAACACAATTCTGGGTTTGAGCACAGAAAAGCGCTTGGTGGTTTTATTCCCTATGTCAAAGAATAATTTACGCACACTCTTTATATTTAGAATCTAATTTACCTAAATGTGAACTTCTAGTCGTGGAATCTGTATAGGGAAATACTTTTGTATGCGTGATTAGCATTCTGAGGATCAAGTTTGTAGCTTTATGTGTTTGTAAGCTATAATAATGGCAATTCTTTATCCAAAAGATTCCAAGAAAAGACTTTTCTAAGACTTTTGAAAGATTTGAGTCATACAACTTATTAGGTAAACATAACTACATATAAACTTTAAAATACAATCACCTTGTGTTAAAAGCTTCGGTGCCCAATTTCCTTCAAAGCACATTATATTCAAAATTTATAATGTGGAGATGCCTTTTTCATGCCTCAGTTTTCTTATCTGTGAAATGGAGTATTAACAGCAGCTGCCCTAGGGCGGGGTGGGGAGGTGACAAGATCATCTGCATAAGGGTCTTGGGAAAGTGAAGAAGAGGTGGTGATGTTGGTGACAACAGCGCTTCCTTAGTAGTGGGAGGCCGGTGACATTTAAGGCAGAAAACACGGCAGGCTTCCTGTGTTCCTCTTTTTGACCAATTTCATTTGGTTTTGCTTTCTGACAGATATGAGCTTCACTGTTCAAGAGAATGCACCAAGTTTTAAAAACAAGGTGGTTTTACATAGTGCAGAACAGGAATTAATTTGAGAAGTACAGTTTAAAAAAAAAATTTTTTTTTTGAGACAGGGTCTCATTATGTAGTTCAGATGGCCCTGGAACTCACTATGTAGCCCAGGCTGGTCTCAAACTCACAGCGATCCTCCTGCCTCAGCCTCCCGAGTGCTGGGATCACAGGCGCACCATCAC